GGTGGTTAATGAAAAACATGGAGTTGACAAAGGTCCACGGCTGATCACCACCATTAGTATACATAAAATACACTGTGGAGCTGTTTTGCCCTGTGGGAGAAGGTGCTATAAGGAAACAAACACATCCACTGTATGTAGATCTGATTTAAGATGCTAAAGGGAACCTGTAGGCAGCCAAATATTTTTTTCTTCTTAACCTCAGGAATAAAAGCCATGACTATCCTCAGAGAAAGCACTGTTCTACCCTATCCTGTACTTCGCAAAGAAAGAACTCACTGTGCTCTACCCGATATCCCATTTGGGCTCATGAGAAGGTGTCATTGCTCTGACTCAGGCTCCTGTTCACCGATAAATGTTCAGAAATCTAACATAGAACTCAACAGGATCTTAAAGATACAATACTTTTATTGATGTATAGGGTTAAAAAAACATATATATAAAAACGTCATATCTTTAAAGTGCTACTAAACCCACAACAGTAAAAATCAGTTTGTATATGCAATAAAGCATGCTTGTTATACTCACTGTGGAACCTAAGGGTTTAATCCTCTGCATTGTGTAAAAAAGGCTGTTTTATCCTGAATTCTCTGATCTTCCCCTTCTTCCAGTGCCTCCCTCTTATCTCCTAATAAGACATATCGTGTGGAGACACTGCACATACACAGCTTGGTGTGTATTGCTGGATAGGTTTTTTTTTTTTCTTGGGAGAGTACATGTGATCAACACAGGGCCAATCAGCACTGCCCAGACAGAGGTTGAGGGTTCTGCATCCTCCTAGAGAAAACTCATCCTACAAGCTTTAATCAGTGCTCGGCTGAACACTAGTAGAAGTCACAAGATTGCTCTAACTGCTGATGAGAAAAGGTATTTAGCAGTTTATATTTACTAAAATAATTGTTCTGTGTACTGTGGGAGACCAGATATAGTGAATGCAAAGTCCTGGGTTTAGTAACACTTTAACCACATGCCGCCCAGCCACTGTAGAAATATGGCGGCAGGGCAGCACGGCTGGGTAAAACCATGGTTTTAAAACGTGTGTTTTCAAAACAGGTAGGGGCACGCGCAAGGTGCGCCACCACCCTACCTGTCCCGCCGATCTCGGCCGCGGATGTCAGTCACCGGGTCACTGCCGGTCGTTACCGGCTGTGTCCCGGCGATTGGCGGCAATCACTGACAGAGAGCAGGGCTGCAGTAGCTCTGCTCTCTGTCAGTTCCCTGACAGCTCCTGACAGGCTGATCGTGAGAGAAGAGTTTATCTCTCCCGATCAGCGTTTCTCTGTGCAGTACACTCCCCTCACACAGTTAACCCTTTCACTGAATAATAAAGTTAACCCCTTCCTCCCCAGTGCCATTAGTACAGTGTCAGTGTTTTTTTTTTTGCACTGATCACTGTATTGGTGTCACTGGGGATGTCAGTGACCCCAAGTCAGTTCCCCCCCAGTGTCAGAATGTCCGCCGCAGTCCCACCATAAGTCGCTGATCGCCGCCATAAGTCGCTGATCGCCGCCATAAGTCGCTGATAACACTTTAAGATCCTGGCAAGTGCTGACTGCTTTGGATGTTTGAACTTCTATATGGAAAGTGGCTGAAGAAAAGCCACTAACCTAAAGACAAATAAATTCTTTAAAAATCATACAATGTGATTTCCTGAATTTTTTTTAAAAATTCTGTGTCTCAGAGTGGGAATGCACCTACAATGTGAATTTCGGACCCCTCCATGATTTCTAAGTGGGAGAACTTGCAAAATCGCAGGGTGTTCAAATACTTCTGTTCCTCACTGTATAAGACTAACAAATGGGTAGAGAAAATTTCACTCCAGGACCACAGGTACATATAAGAAATAAAATGAAGTCACAAATAAAACAATCTACACCTGTAAGTTACCAATACAGGGATATACCCGTAGACTAACAGTCTAAGAATGACCATATGAGGGCATTATGGGGAGGCGCATACCGTATAATAACGAAGTAGAAGAGTAGAAGAGTCAAAGTATCAGTACAGGGGCTAAATGCCTAAAAAAAGTATTTTGGTAAGAAAAATAAGGGGAAGATACTAGGCGGAGGAATGTGCTGGAGTACCAGTGTGTGAAAGTGAATAAAAATTCTAAAGTGTGCTCAGTCATCTTGTAGGAATAATACATACAATACATCCATCATGTCATGGAAGCAATCTAGTTGGTTCTTAGCAGCATGCACCCAAAGTTTTGCTTCCATGATTTTGTCCACTTCTTGTTTCCAGTCAACTAATGTAGGACAAGCAGCCTGCCTCCAATACTGTGGGATCAGACTCTTGACTGCATTTGATAGGTGGGGGGGGGTCACACTTTTATACAATTTAACCGATGAATGGACATCATGGAATAGAAACTGCAGCTGGGTACACTAAACTGGTTTAAGGGTTGTTTTCTTTATCCAAGGAGTGATTGCTTCCCAAAACGCCCGGATCTTTGGACAGGACCACCAAAGGTGGAGGAAGGTGCCACGTTGAGGGCATCCCGGCCAGCGACTAGGATCGGCGCCTGGAAACATCTGGGCCAGGCGAGAGGGGGGTTCTGTACCACCTAATTAAGAATTTGTAGGAGCCTTCCTGGGTACGAGTGGTAATGGAGGAAACATGAGTCAAGCATCTGCTTTTTTTTTAATCTGGGGAGGGGAAAATTCTTTCTCCAATTCTTTCTCCTACTCTCTAATCTAATATGGTGGTGTCTGAGATTAGATCCAAGTAATAGCTTATACATGTATGAAAGCAGGTGTCTAGAATCTGATAGGCATAAGTATCAGGTCTCAAAAGAAGAGAGGGTGTCCTGTGGATGCAATTTACGTTGCAATTTAGAAAAGAAATCACCTAATTGCCGATGCCGCCATAATGACCTTGGGAAGTTTCCATAGAGGGATCACAAGGTCTCTACGGACAACAACTTCCCTCTAGGGGCAAATTTAGTACACAATGTATCCTTTTCCACTCCCCAAGCATGGAAAAAACTAACATCTTCCCCAGGGGAGAACCACAGAAAGCCTTCTAGTTAATTAATGAGGAAGTTTGAGAAGCGAACGTACTGTCAATATTCAATCTATGTCATGCAGTAAGAGTTGTGTGAGTAAATGGGGATGTTCAGTCAGAGAGTCCTCTATCACCCAAAGGTATCCACGGGGCCCCTGCTAAGTTCCTACCTGCCAAGGTTTTCTCCAAAGGCACCCACAAGAATTGTGGAGGTGTCATGATTCCAGTTAAAAATTCGGACTACAGCCATGGCTTTAATATATTCCGCTATCTCTGGTAAGCTCATCCCTCCATCCAGTTTGTGTCTATGTAGGATGGCATAAGCGAATCCTAGTTGTTTCCCGTGCGATAAAAATACCAAAAAAGCCCATTTTAGTTGCTTAAGAAAGGTTTGTGGTAGCGAGATTGGAATCATATACAGCAAATATATAATACAAGAGAGGATAGTCATTTTGAGTACATATATTAATCCAAACCATGTCAATGGTTAGTCTTGCCACAATTTAAATTCCTCCAAAATTCTGATCAACAGTTTCCCATAGTTAAGACAATACAAAGTTAAAGAATCAAGCGAGATATGGGTCCCCAAATGAGGCAGCGATCCCTCACGCCATTGAAATCAGGCTTGGCGAAGAGTAGTAGCCATCTCCAGTGGAACGTTCTTATAATTCATTCTAAAGTTAGAAACACTGCCAAACCTACGTAACTCCCCTATGATCACAGGAAGGAGGTCTGAGGATGAGTAACATAAAAGAAGAGGTCTTCTGCATATGCAAACAGTTTGTGTTCTACGGCGCCTATGGTAACCCTGCTCTGTCCGGGTTGCTGTGGACCCGCCATAGCAAAGGCTCCAGGACCAGGGTAAATGGCAACGGGGACAGTGGACACCCTTGCTTTATCCCATTGTTAATGTAAAATGGCTCAGACAAAATCCCATTAACCTTCACCCCCCCCCCTAGGGCCCTTATATTGAGCCAAAATCCAGCCAAGCATCCTGTCACCCAGACCCAACATACACAATACTTCTGTCATATAAGTCCAATTGACCCTATTGAAGGCCTTTTCATCATCCATCGATAATATTATACAAGGCCTTTGATCAGGACCATGTTGGGTCCAATGCAGGATATGTAGGGCATGAATGGCATTACTGCTAGCTTCGCAGCCCACCATGAAGTCAGTCTGATCAGGATGTCGTTACGTGGTCCTGAAGATGAACAACAAGAAACTTGGTCGAGATTTGTGTATCAAAATTCGATAAGGATATCGGTTTGTAATTGGCACAATATTGGGGTCCTTCCCTAGTTTGGGCAAGACAGTGATGAGGGCTAAGAGGGCCTCCAGGGCAGGGATTGATAAAACATGCTAGAATTAAAGTAGGCACACATCTGGCGATGTGATCTTTCTGATACTTTCTGTGATAGAAGCAGTTTTCTGTTGGTCATATCATGATGCCTCTGATTGCTTAGTGTGGCTTATGCACTTAGTACATGTAAGAGTTCACAGTAAACAGTGTTATTCCTTTTTGAATACCAAATAGTATTAAGCTATGTGAAGTTTCTGCTTTTTGAGCTTCCTTGTGTTGTGGAATCTATTATCTTGTAGGAGGCAATGTGATTGCCATCTTATCTGTCCGGGAACAACGCACTTCTTAACCCACTTATAATGTAGAGGTCACAGCTGTTGGTGAGTACATTTGTAACTTGGTGAAGCTGCAAGAAGTGATCAGGATTTGGATACCTTCATCGTTAATTGAGAGGTTTTAGATTTTGGAACATTTACAAATGTTGGACCTTACTTCTTTACGACTATATTTTTGGACTGTTATGGATATATAAATTCACTTTACTGGATGCTACTGATTGAATTATATTTTTTTATGAACGGTTGGGATTGTGGGATGCTTACTTTATTATTGCTAGTTACTATATTCCTAATACATTATTACATTTTTTACAGTTAATGTTGAAGAAACATATGACGACTCACTTCCTCAAATGCCAACTACCTTCATCGAGTTCAGTCACCACACCTATGCACAAATGGTCAGTGTTCTAAAGAAAACTGCAGGCAAATGCTCCCATATTGCTAAGACGTACACTATTGGACGTAGCTTTGAAGGGAAGGATCTCATAGTAATTGAGTTTTCAACCAAACCAGGACAGCATGAACAATGTGAGTATCAATTTCTTTAAAAATAAAAATAAAATAGTGGCTCTGGATCAGTTTTAATTTTTTAAATGCTTTTAAAATAATTGGATATACAGTGGCAAGAAAAAGTATGCAAATCATTAACTGGTTTCCTACAGTAATTTGCCATAAATTGTGATCTTATCCCCATCTAAGTCGCAACAATAGACAAACACAATGTGCTTAAACTGATAACACACACAAACAATTATAATTTCTTGTGTCTTTATTGAACACCCCCATTAAATATTTACAGTGCTGGAGGCAAAAGTATTTGAACCCATAGACTAATTAAACAAAAGCTAATTGGAGTCGGTATTTTGCACACATTTATTGTATTACTGAAATATTGAAATGAGTGTGTAGGTGTGGTTTAGAGCTATTTTTATTGATAAAGGACTCAAACATTTTAAGATTGCTGAACATAGGAAGCATCAGCTGAAGTGAACCATGCCTCTCTGAAAATTTAAGATTGAGAGTAGTTGATCTGAATAAGGCTGGAAAGGGATACAAAGCAATCTCAAAGTGTTTAGGCATTCATCAGTTGACAACTTGTTTGTAATTGGAGACAGTTTACCATACAGAAGTCTTTGAGCAGACAGGGTGTCCATTGCAGAACACCACAGAGGAAGCCACTGCTCTCCAAAAAAAAACATTGCTGCGCACCTGAAGTTTGCATCTTGGCAAACCGCAAGGCTATGTTATGAACTGATGAAATAAAAGTTGAATTGTTTTGGAAGAATACTCAACACTGTATGATGCAAAGAGGACACAAAATACCAACATCAAAACATAATCCCAACGGTGAAGTATGATGGCGGGAATATCATGATTTGGGTTTGCTTCACCGCCTCAGGGCCTGGACCACTTGCCATCATCGAAGAGAAAATTAATTCCCAAGTTCATCAAAATATCCTACAGGATAATATTAGGAAGGCTGTCCGCCAGCTGAAGCTTAGTAGAAATTGATGCAGCAGGACAATGGCACTAAGCATTGAAGTAAATACACCACAGACTGGCTTCAGAAAAAAAAATGCACCTTTATGGAGTGGTCCAGTCAGAGGCCAGACTTTAACCCCATAGAGATGCTGTGAAATGACATCAAGAGAGCCCTTCACACAAGACATCCTACAAATGTGTCCAAGCTACAACAGCCTTATAAAAAGAAATGGTAAAAAATTCCCCCTGAACATTGTGCTGGTCTGACCCAGATCTACCGAAAGTGCTTGCTTGAAGTTATTGCTGCCCATGGAGGTTTGACCAGCTATTAACTCCAAAGGTTCACTTACTTTTTCTTCCAGAACTGTGAATGTTTAGTGATTGTGCTCAATAAAGACATTACAAATTAGAATTGTTTGTGTGTTATCAGCTTAAGCACAATTGTGTTTGTTGTTTCTTAGATGAGGATCAGATCACATTGTATGGCAAATTACTGAGTGCTGGAGGGGCAGATCAGAGAGCTGGTGACTGACACCCACTGGCTCTTTGCTCACTGAAGACCATAAACTGATAAATGAAGCGATCACTGGTCTTCGATTTTTTTACGTCTCGGTCTTAGAGACAGTGGGGGACATTCTGCAGGCAATGTGAATAGACTAGGAAGGGGTAGATCTATGTTAAAAAAGAACCTTTTCAATAAAAAATCAAAACCAAGTATCATATAATACTCACAGTTCATATATCGTGCTTTCTAATTATCTTCCGAAATAACCGCGTACCACCTCCCGTGTTGTTATGCACATCGTGTATCCACCACATTTCAAACCTGCACTCACCTCCACTCTTAGACCTGTCCTCTTACAGGTCATAAGCGCTTGCTTCCCTTTGCTGGGATCCTTGGAACAACTCCTCTCCTCCTTATGGACCCCCCTCGCTTTTGGTTTTCCGCCCCAAGCTCACTTAATGGTACACTTTAATTCTTGGTGTCTGGCCCTTTAAAAATGCACTCCCTGTCCTGCAGTTTGCTCACACATAAAAGAGTATCCCCATAGTGTATTATAGAAAATATATGTGGTTTATTAAAAAACATAGTTGCATTCACTTTATAAAAGAGCTGAACAGCCATCAACATAGACAGCAGGACTTCCAGTTTCCAGTTCTCCTAGCGTCCTGGTTCTGTCTACACGTATATCGTCATGGCCACATGACTTCCTCAGTACAACAAGGTATCAAACTAGACAGAACAATGAGTATTTCTCAAACGTGTTCGTGGTATGCAATGTGTGAACCAAAAAAGGGAGTATCAGCAGGATGGACCAAAAATCCAACCAGTAGGACCACAATTTATAATATTTACTACAGTTCCTCCCCGATTGATAGGTACATATAGACCAGTTAAAATCTGTCATCCATGCTTCCACTGAGGGAGGGGTATTGGAAAACCATTTCCAGTCATTATGGCTCCTAGACATTTTTGCTCAGAATGTTACGCAGAGCTGTATCACCTTGCAGTGCACAATAATGGCAAACAATTAAAAAAAAGGCAACAAAAAACACTTAAATGCATCCTAGCACAGCAACTCAAAAATGCACGTCATTGTGCGCACATTATGCACATGCTAATGTATGTGCAATGGTGTAAACAAGTCTGCAGGAGATAAATGTTATTTTTATTTATTTTTGGCAGCTTTGTTATTGAGCTGTGTAGACATTATTATGATTTTATATGACCCGTAAAATAACAGACCAAGTAATCAGATTTTCAATTGTTTATACAGTAAAACCAGAATTCCGTTACATTGGCAACATGCATGGAAATGAAGTGGTTGGCAGGGAGTTGCTGATTTATCTTGCTCAGTATTTTTGCTCAGAATATCTCCTTGGCAATCCCAGGATTCAGGAATTGATCAACACAACAAGGATTCACCTCTTTCCATCAATGAACCCAGATGGCTATGAGTTGGCATCCGAAGAGGTAAAACAAATTTATACTGTTGGGATTTTGTGGTCAAAATGATGTGCTTATTCTCTTGCCCCTCTCTGGTAGCCATTAAAGGGGCTGTAAAGGCAGATGGTTTTTTTACCTTCATGCATTCTACAGACACACAGAGCCGGGAGTTGAGCATGCACAAGTGCCCCTAGAGCAAGCAGCCTGTTATAAGGGCACTCAGCAGGGGGGGGGGGGGGGGGGGGGGGGGGGGGGGGGGGGGGGGGGGGGGGGATTTGGGGGAAGGAATCAGGAGCTCCACATACACCTCTGTAGAAAAACCTCAGAACTTTGGTCCCAGCTTACACCTGATGGGTTGTCACACCTTTGAAGTTACAATTGAAGTTACGATTGTTATATTGTATGAAATGTCTGGCTGTTAATTGTATCCATTGTTGATAAATTATTATTATATTATTATTATTATTATTATACAAGGTTTATAGAGCGCCAACAGTTTGTGCAGTGCTTTACAACATAAGGGCAGACAATACAGATACAATACATTTAAAAACAGGAGGAATTAGAAGGCCGTACTCCTAAAATCTTACAATCTAAAAAGGAGGGCCAAGTGATACAAAAATTAAAACAGTGGGGGATGAGCTGATGAAGAAAATAAAAGTACAGTTGTTAGGTGGGGGCAGGATAGGCTTCTCTGAAGAGACAGGTTTTCGGAGATTGTCTAAAAATGGAAATAGCAGGAGATAGTTGGACAGATTAGGGCAGGGAGTTCCAAATGATGGGAGAGGCTTAGGAGAAATCCTGGGAGGAAGTGATAAGGGAGCTAAAGAGCAGGAGGTCTTGGGAGGAACAAGGAGAATGATTTGGTTGATATTTTGAGACTATGTTAGTAATGTAGCTGGGGGCAGAGCGGAGGATTGCTTTGTAAGTTGTTGTTAGTGTTTTGAATTTTGTTGGGTGAGTGGCAGCCAAAGGATGGATTGGCAGGGGGAGGGGGGGGGGGGGGGGGGGGGGTTAGCAGACACTGAATGATTGGTAAGATAAATGAGTCTGGCAACATCATTCATGGTGGACTGAAGAGAGGATAGCCTACGTAAAGGTAATCCAATGAGGAGGGAGTTGCAGTGTAATCGAGGCAAGAGATTACCAGGGAGTGAATTTGAAGCTTTATGCTGTATTTGGTTAGGAAGGAGTGTATTTTAGAGATGTTTCGTAGATTGAGGTGGCAAGCTTTTGACAGTGATTAGATGTGGGGCCGAAAAGAGTTCAGAGTCCAGGAATACACCTAGCAACCTGGCATACTGGGACGTGTTGATAGTTGCAACCTCAATCTTGACAGAGAAGTCAGGGGAAGGGGCATGTGGAGGAGAAAATTTATGAGTTCTGTTTTGGATATATTGAGCTTTTGGAAGTGTTGTGACATCCAGGCTGATATGTCTGTTAGTAAATTAGTGATGCATGAGGAAACTGATGGAGTGAGCTTAGTGGTAAGAGATAGATTTGGGTGTCATCAGCGTAGAAATGATAGTGGAAGCCGTAGTAGGCAATCAACTGACCCAGCGAGGAGGTGTAGATCGAGAATTGGAGAGGTCCAAGAAAAGAACCTTGGGGGACCCTGACAGAAAAAGGAAAAGGAGAGGAGGAAGAATTGTAAGTGATGCTGAAGGAGAGGTGGGATAGGTAGGATGAAAACCAACGAAGAGCACAGTCAGGGAAGCCAAAAGAGTGGAGTTTTGAGGAGGAGGAAATGGTCAACTGTGTCAAAGGCAGCAGAGAGGTCCTGGAGTAGGAGTACAGAATATTGTCCATTGGTTTTAGCCATTGAAATTGAATTCACTTTTGGAAATTTACCATGGTAAAGTACAAAGAATAGTAGTTTTTGTCAAACTATGTTTTGTGTTGCAATAACTTTCTGAACTTTGAAAAAAACTCCTAGTGTTTGGATCATAATATTATTTACTACTTACTATATAGTTCTATAGGTGACCAACTGGAGCCAAATTTTTTTTGTGAATTCTGGGACAGCCTCCAATTTTAATAGGATGATATAGGTTTTCTTTTGTTGTAATTGGTACAGAAGGGGATAACTTGTCCCATTAGGTACAAATTTGTTATGCTTTTTTGTGTAATTAAAGTGACACTAGGTGATTATCCATACACATCCACTACTCAATGGCATTGTAATCTATTTTTCGTTTAATTGTTTCTTACTGTGTTTTTCTCCCTCCGCTGGGGACATCTCCCCGAACCCTGGCCCCTCACCACCTCCCCCCCTCCAGGGACCCCCCTGCTCCCGCCAGCCGCCGCAACCCCCCAACCTCATACCTGTGCACCTCCTCCCCACATCCATCCCCCCTCTCTCGGTTGCACTTCTGAACGCCCGCTCGGTTGCAACAAACTAACTGCCATCCATGACCTCTTTATCTCCCGCTCCCTCAACCTCCTAGCCATTACCGAAACCTGGGTACAGGCCACCGACTCTACCTCCCCTGCGGCACTCTCTCATGGAGGTCTCATCTGGTCCCATTCACCAAGACTGGGTGGTCACAAAGGTGGTGGTGTCGGCCTGCTCCTATCACCGCTGAGCACCTTCCAGGTCCTCCCTAACCCCCCCTCCCTAACCTTCTCCTCCTTCGAGGCTCACTGCATCCGGCTCTTCTCACCCACCCCCTTAAGGATCGCAGTGATCTACAGGCCCCCCGGATCCATAGCCCGCTTCCTGGATGACTTCGCCGCCTGGCTTCCCTTCTTCCTCTCCTCTGAGCTACCGACCATCATCCTCGGTGACTTCAACATCCCCATCAACGACCACACCCCAGCTACCTCTCAACTCCTCCACCTAACCACCTCCTTCGCGCTCACACAATACACTCAATCCTCCACCCACATCAATGGGAACACCCTGGACCTCGTCTTCTCCCACCTCTGTACCCTTAACCACTTCACTAACACCCCCTTCCCTCTCTCCGACCACCACCTCCTCACGTTCTCCATCTCCCCTTCCCTAACTCCCCCCCCCCCCCAGTGCGCCAAACCATCACCAGCCGCAACCTCCGCAACCTGCACCCGGCCCCCCTCCACTCGGCTGCCGACCGCTTGCACGACAGCATCCTTCCACTGTCATGTCCTGACCTAGCCACCACCCGCGTACAACGACTCACTATCAGCCACCCTAGACTCTCTGGCACCCCTAACCACACGCAACATCAAACCCAGACCGCTCCAACCATGGCAGAACGACCACACTAAATGCCTCAAACATCGCAGTCGTGCGCTGGAGAGACTATGGCGCAAAACCAGGTCCCCTCATGCATTCTCCCTCTACAAATCTTCCTTCCTCACCTACACCTCCTCCCTCCACGCCGCCAAGCAGGCCTACTTCGTTGACCTGATCAACACCCTCTCAAACTGCCCTCGCTGACTCTTCTCCACCTTCAACTCCCTGCTCTCTCCCCCCCCTCCTCCACTCAGTACCTCACTTACCGCCCACGAGATTGCCACTCATCTCCATAGCAAGATTGACGCAATCCGCAAGGACATAGTCAACTTGCAGTCTACCTCCCCATCTAGCCTCCCCCCTTCCATCACCCTCTCATCTCTCCCCTCCTCTGACCTTGCAACGGCACTGCCCCCCACCACACCCAAGGCCCTGCCTACCGTAACCCCCCCATCACCGCACTCCTTCAGCCCTACTACCACTGAGGAAGTCACCAGAGTCTTCTCAGAAGCCCGCCTCACTACCTGCCCCCTGGACCCTATCCCCTCTCAACTCCTCCGGTCACCCCCCTCTTCCCTCATCCGCTCCCTTACCCACATCTTCAATCTCTCCCTCGCTACTGGCGTCTTCCCCTCCCCCCTAAAACATGCGCACATCACCCCCATACTCAAAAAGCCCTCCCTGGACCCCACTGACCTCAACAACCTCAGACCAATTTCCCTGCTGCCACTCATGTCCAAGCTCCTTGAGCGCTTGGTCTACACGATCGCCTAAGCGCCCACCTAACTGACAACAACCTCCTTGACCCACTACAGTCCGCTTCCGTCCCCTACACTCCACTGAAACTGCCCTCCTCAAAATCACCAACGATCTTCTAACCGCCAAAGCCAAAGGCGACTACTCTGTCCTCCTCCTCCTAGACCTCTCTGCGGTTTTTGACACAGTCGACCACCCCCTCCTCCTTAATAAACTACTCTCCCTTGGCATCAGAGACACCGCTCTCTCTTGGTTCTCGTCCTATCTATCCCAACGCTCCTTCAGCGTTTCCTACAACGGCGCCACCTCCTCTTCCCTCCCCCTCTCTGTTGGGGTCCCCCAGGGCTCTGTCCTTGGACCCCTTCTCTTCTCCATCTACACCTCCTCCCTTGGCAAACTCATACACTCCCACGGCTTCAACTACCACCTCTATGCTGATGATACTCAAATCTACCTATCCACCCCTCACCTCACCCCCACATTCTCCGCCCGCATCACTCACCTCCTAAACGACATCTCTGACTGGATGTCGCTCCATTTCCTCAAACTCAACCTCTCCAAAACCGAGCTTCTCGTCTTTCCCCCCCTTCCCGTGCCCCCCCCCCCCCCCCCATCCTTTCCATCACTACCAACAACACCACCATCAATCCCACCCAGCAAGCCAAGGTCCTTGGCGTCATTCTGGACTCAAACCTCTCCTTCCAACCTCATGTCAAATCACTCACAAATACATGCAGGCTCCACCTTCGCAACATCGCCAAAATACGCTCCTTCCTTACCCCAGACACCACTAAACTACTCGTTCACTCCCTGATTATCTCACGCCTTGACTACTGCAACTCCCTCCTCATTGGCCTACCCCAGTGCAAACTCTCCCCGCTTCAGACCATCCTGAACTCAGCTGCCAGACTCATCCACCTCACCAGCCGCTCCACCTCTGCCACCCCCCTCTGCCTCTCCCTCCACTGGCTCCCCATTGCCCAACGCATTAAATTCAAACTGCTCACTCTGACCTATAAAGCCATTCACAACACTGCCCCTAACTACCTCACCGACCTGATTCCCAAGTACCACCCTACCCGTACCCTTCGCTCTTCACAGGACCTCCTTCTATCTTGCTCCCTGGTCTCCTCCTCCCACGCACGACTGCAAGACTTCTCCAGGTCCTCCCCCATCCTCTGGAACTCACTACCCCAATCCATCAGACTGTCACCTTCCCTCCTCACCTTCAGGCGCTCCCTGAAAACCCACCTCTTCAGGGAAGCCTACCCCACCCTCACCTAACAGCCGCTGCCCTTCCCTCCTCCTACCACTCATCCCCCACAGCCATTTCCTCCTGTACCTCTACCCCCTCCCTCCTAGATTGTAAGCTCGAAAGAGTAGGGCCCTCTTACCCCTTGTGTGCTGTTTGATGTTACTGTACTGTTTCATGTATTGTCCCCCCTCTATTGTACAGCGCTGAGCAAACCCTTTGGCGCTATATAAACTCGATAAATAAATAAATAAATAATGTCATCTTTGAGTCTCCAAACTTCTTCTTTTCCCCATTGCTTCTGTTTGTTTGGAACGAGTTTTGCACGTTTAATTGTAGGTATGTGTACTCAAACACCTATATGACCGTGTGCTGTCTACAACAAAAAAATTCATCTAGTCTTTGGGGTTGATTTACTAAAGGCAAATCCGCTGTTCTCTTTGTAAGGAAGAGAAAGGAGAATTACAAATTGCAAAGGAATTTGCCCCAGAGCTTATTGAATGTGGTGAAATTTCACTTTGCAAAGAATACCCAATCAAGCGCAAGGAAAATTTTTGCTTGCACATGATGGAAGTCAAAAGAGCGTCACCACATCCACTGAGCACTGGGGCAAATTTCCTTTCAAAATGAACAGCCTATTTGCCTTTAGGAAATCAACCCCTTTGCCTCCAGTCACCCTGGCAGGCAACCTAGCATGTTGGGGACCCTTATTTTCTCCCCTTCATTTAAGTGTTACAGGTTGATCATTGCACAACCCTTAACCTGCTGCTTGGATAGTAAATGAACTGTACTTACTGTATTAACGCTGTTCTTTCTTCATGTCAACTTAGTTCCCAGTGTTAGATTACCAGCAATATAAAAGAGAAGGCTAAATGACTTCCACATTCTCTCTCTCTTATGCAAGCTGAACACAGCAAACTAATATAAAATAAGATTTGGGAACTTTTGATAACTGCATTTGATAGCTGCATTTCATTATTTGTGTTAATAATTATGCCACTGTATTAAAAGGCAGTCTTTATTAATCTGCTTGGAGTTCAGCTTTAACAATATTCTTTGGGAAATATGAAGGTTATAAGAAAAGAGAGGCACAGTCCTTATGGAAAGCACCCATGCTGACCAATCATGGTACTTTTCAGGAGGTTTGTAATTGTTGCAATGTATTTATCTTCCAGGGTGCTGGATACAATGGGTGGACAAATGGAAGAATGACAGCTCAGAACATTGATCTTAATAGAAACTTTCCTGATCTGACTTCTGAAGTCCATAAAATAATGAAAGTACGCTCAGCTCGTGTCGATCACCTGCCCATCCCTGAAACCTATACTTGGGAGAGGGTATGACTTTTTTTTATTATTATTGTACAGTATACAATAGTCATCCTTATGATGTGGTGTGTTCACTTTGAATGGCAGAATTAACTAAGTAAGTGGAATTGATTCACAAATATGCAGGGCCAGCTTTCCATCTCTGGCGCCTGAGGGCATACAAGAGTTGGCGCCCAAACAACACGTCCCTGTGAGAACTTCCTCTTTGCATTTAGCATATTCTTGTTTTTCGTGTAGTAATCTAGTTTAGAATTTTGTGAGAGTAAATGAAAAGGCTTTGATGAGATACCTGTATTAATACTTAAGGGGAAACGTGTGGCCAGTGAATAAAAAAAGAAAAAACCACCTCATAGCCTCTGCAGCCTAAAGACATAAACCTATTGTGCCTAATGGTTAAAGTGGAACCCAACTCTATCTGGGCACCACAAACTGAAAACACTATTTAAAGTGGTTTTAAAATAAGGGTCGCCTTTTTGACCTCTTCATGTGCTGTAGCCAGGGAATGGCGTAAAATGACTGCTATTTCTTTTGCTGTATGGGTCTGTGAAATGGACTCCATCTGCCACATGGAAAATCTGGTCTCCTGGGAAGCAGGTAAACATGATGATTATACTCCCTCATGGTCAGTGTGGAATCACTTCTGACATTCTCCAAAGTTCGCCTCTTATTTGTGATTTTGTTGCTCCATTGTCTGCCAGTCTCAGCTAGACATCCCAGTTTTATTCTGCCACAGCGCTCTGCCCCCCGCACACTTTTTTTTTTTTCTTCTTCCTTCTCCATCTTTCTTCACACTGTACATCCTTTCTGTCTCCTGTAAATCTACTACTCACTGAAAAGCAATGACTATTTGGATGTTGATTTTGTTACTCGTGCCACCCAAGATATTGACAGCTGCTCTTTATATCCTTGGTTTTATACTACTGCTATGTTGAATATCTACGGATATGGAAGTATTGAGACAACTCCTTCGTGTGTTCCCTTTTGGGTGGTTGCATTGTAGGCACTCCCTGTTAGTTTTGGAGGTCTTTTCTATTTTTTTTTTTCTTTTCTACTAAATGTACCATTATTCTGGTAATGTGCCAATGGTGGAATGTGAATCCTTTGTGATATACACTTTCTCTATTTTATTCTTCTGTAAAAAAATTTGAAAATTCAGTAGAACAGATTAAACATAAAGTAGTTGTAAAGGCTGAAGGATTTTAACCTTAATGCATTCTATGCATCAAGGCAAGAACCCTCCCAAATACTTACCTAAGCCTGATCTCGATCCAATGCTATGCCTGAGAGCAGCAGTGCTGCTCTTTCTCTCCCTCCACACCAGACTCAGTGAGAGCAGTGGGATTGGCTCCTGCTGCCATCAATTAAGTCCAGTGACAAAGGGGCAGGGGGTGGGGCCAAGCAGCACTGTGTTTGACACACTAAGAGCGGTTTGTTATTGAGCCAGCACGACTACCACCATAGGAAGTGGCTTCCTATGGTAGCAGACGGAGAAGTGGAGAAGCCCAGAGTGCTGGCAGGGGACCCCATACAGGTAGGTATGACATGTTTCATATTTAAAAAAAAATACTTTACAATCACTTTAATTCATTTTTAATATTCAGAGTAAACTCACCCATCTATCCATGTCTCCATGATTTTTTTTTTTTGTTGAGAAATCACTGGGAAAACACCCCCTAGCATTTCTAGCTGAGGCCGTCTTGAGTAAGGGCAGATGAAACATGAAACATTTACTTCCAGGAATCCATCTGCTCTTAGCTCAGACATGAAGGCAGGAGTGTGTGCTTAGCTGAGCAAGCCCTTGCTTCCCACTTCCAGATGAAAGATTAAAAAAAAAGCCCATGACGTCTCCTGGGATATATGACATCACTTTTCGTGTAAGCCAGAAACCAGGAAGCATGTAAAGAAATGTTAAAAAGCCAAGTAAATATAATATACCCTACTATCTATTTAGTAATGCTAACAGCATAAGGATTAAAAATAGTTCATGCTGATTGAGAGAGTTTAGTTCTACTTATGTGGAATCAACTTGTGGATGTGTATCAACTAACTTGTTATATAGTTCCTCCATTAGAAGCTTGATAAAGTTATTGTTTAGCCCAGAGTTGTTCTTTAAATTACGTGTAACTAGGTAAATATTGGTGGATGTTGAATACCTCAAAAGGACAGACAAAATGTCCCATTATATCAGTGTATCAAATTCGCTCTTACATTCTTACATTGTTCTGTCAATCATCAATTCACTCGGCTGCAAGTCTGAACCTCACACTCTCCCGATCTCATTAAACTTCAACTCAGGTTATAGGGAACTTATTATAAGTTCAGATGTGTGTGTAATGAGTTTCAGCTCTGATAAGGCTTAGCAAGGTATGAAAGACGTTTGTGGCATCATTAAAAGCAATTATGGAGATTATTCAAAGAAACGGAAACAATTACTGTGACCATTCACCACTGAACTGTCATCTACATTTTCAATTAAAATTATTCATGTCTTGGTATATCGGTGTCATTGTAAATGCATTTCCTGTTGTCCTGTTACTGATGGGAGAATTTGGATTATATGGAATAATTTTGAATACAGAATAACTGGATAATAATATTTTTTTTAAGATGCATTGGTGCTTGACCTCCCGTGTAAGGCTTTTCTCAACAATATGGAATCAGATTTGTACTTTGTTTTAAGGGTATTGCTAGGGTGGTGCAAGAATTGGAGCACTCCTGGGCAATACATGATGTAAACACATAGCACACATATGCCACAATGGGGAGAAGCATCCATAACTCTCAGGTGCCATGTAAACCTAATGCACCCTCCAAAACCGCTTTCATTCTAACTTTAATACGTTACCCTTGATTTTTGCAGCAATTTCAGAGAACTGAAAACTCTCAGTGTTACTCATCCAAAGTTATATGTGATCACTGTTATTGTTGTTAAATTTCTGATTCTGAAATTACCCTGCTGCATTCAACCAGGCCACTTGTATCCTATGTATACAACTTCGGTGCATGCATCAAATATATTGCAGCATTTTAGATGTGCTGTTGAGTGTATATCTACTTTTTATTTAAGTAAAACTAAAGGTAACCTTTTTTTTTTTCATTTTGGATAGAGTAAGGGAGGGTTATAACCCCTGACAGTTTTTTTTGCCATATGTATTCCATTAGGGTGATTTCACTTCACTTCCTGTCCCCTACCAACAAATGAAATTATAAGGAAACCCCTCCAGAGTTAGAGAAATTCCTGGTGGTCATCAGGGCCACCAGAACCAGTGTCCCCATTGTAAGATTATCCCTCTGTTCCTGTTCTGGTGATCACTAAAAATGTGGGATTTTCCTTCACTACCAGCGTTGGACCTGTGACAGGCACTCCTCAGGAGTGCTGACTATGCATTCCTCTGCCCCTCCTCCATTCATGAAATCTGGACTATAGCTTCTATCAGTGGATTATGAATGGAAGACAGGTGAATGAACGGTCTGTCCCTTCCATTCATAGATTTAATTTCAGTCCAGTCCTTCTCAGGTAATGCCCATCGGATTGTGCGGACTCTGCAGACGTTTGGATGGATCATAAATGTCCAGAATTCAGTACTGGAGCTGACTCACTGCTTGGAGTATCTGGGCCTGATTCTGGATATGAACCATTCCAAGGCTTTGCCCTCTGCTTCCAGGTTCAGACCTTACAGTCCAGGGGATGCCCCACCATCCGCTTTGAGGCAGTACCATAGAGTTAGTTTCGCTCCAGACTATTGCAACTCAACCTTTTGGCTATGTGGGTCAAGCAGAAATAATCTCTGGATCATCCTGTTTGCATGATCAGCAGAACTAGGCTTGCCTTAGCATGATGGATTTCCAGTCCTGGAGGCTATCTTGATACTGGGGAGTTGGTTGCGGTGGAACCCCAGCTCCCAATCAACATCCTGCATTCCAGGGTGATTCAATTGTCCCTCTTATCTTTGAAGCTCTCCAACCAGGATTTAGAATGTGGCTTATATCAGCCATCAAGGGGGAATAAGAAGTCATGCAGGTCAAGGAAAAACCAATTTAATTCTAAAGTGGGACTCCAAGTTCCAGCCTTGTCTGTAGTGTACATTGCAACCATAGAAAATTAGCAGGTGACCTTTCTCAATCATTAGCGTATGGTTGGTATGTGTTTTTAGACCTTTGTCACAGGTGGGGGACACTAGACATGGTTCTTCTGGCTTCCTTGTTCAGTAACAAGCTGGACATGTCTGTCACTGGGACCAGGGATCCTCAGTCCTTCACATTGGATGCCCTGGTGACTACGTGGGATCAGGTCAATTTGGCCTATTCTTCTCCACTAAAGCTCCTTTTTCATCTGCTCTACAGGATAGAGAAGGAGGGTGTTCCAAAGATCCTCATTCTCCCCTACCTGACCCAGGAGGACGTTTCATAGAGGCCACTTCACCATCCTGCTTCTTGGTCACTGGTTTAAAAGGCTTGGTTGATGAAGCCCAAGTCCTATGGGAAATGGAGCCTCTCAAGTTTAATCATCTTTATCCTCCTAAAAGCTAGGAAATCAACTTCTCGCAAAGTATACCATTGCACCTGCAATACTACTTTGCCTGGAGCAAAAGTAGGACACTTCACCCCAGGAAGTACTCTACTTTATAAAAAGACTGAGGGATGCCTGCACAATTGCTGATAGTTCAGTGGAATAAAGATAACCCAATTCATCAATAAAACATCGGAATAATCTGTAAACAACCAAACAAATTTATATGAGCCACTTGTATACTGTATCAACAATTTTTCATATAGTCACATTGCTTCAAAGAGGGATATACGTACAGTGGCCAGTCAGAAGTCAGCTGCATCACAGGGAGGATGCCAGAAATTATAATTAATATGGTACCATGAACATCAATTTTTTTTTAGAAATACTGTGGGTAGATGTTAACACATGTGTCTCAGGCTGTTCTCTGAGTCTCCTGCCCTCTGTAGCCCAGTTGTTTTTGAGAGATTGTTAGCATTTGTTACTATGATGCCCACCC